TCCCTCCTCTGCAACTTTAATTAACTCCTCCAAGCTTGCCTTGCAGCATTTTAGAAAATCTTGGAGATACAATACTTTATGCGCTTCCATTGCTTTTAGCTCTTCTTTGCCATGGTGAAGTGGTCCGATGGAGACTAATCGCGGTGTGTAGGCTTTTTCATTCAGCTCGCGTAGCCCAACAGGAACTCTGTAGATACAACATTGGTCTGAAAAGGGCAGCAAGATTTCCATCTCTCCTCTCATAGACCTTGCTAAATTGTTAACATCAAGTGATACCTGATCAATTTTTGTCTCCTGCTGATCAGTTGATGTTCCAACAAGCTCCATCTTGGACTAACCGGTCGGGCAAAAACTGACTGGATCAACAAACGATTCTAAAGTAAGATTCAATCGTTAAAATTGTTGACTTGGAACTTGATATTTACTCTTCACTGCGGTGTACTCTTCCTTAACACATTATGTAAAATGTAAAAGAATATAAAATAATCCTTCATGATCTAACATTATATATAGAGAGCACAAAGACTAGAAAAAAAGGGGCCAAACTTGCATACTTACAGTTCTGAGGTCTCAACCCATACCTTCCTCTTCCAGAATTCTTTGCTCTTGCCTTAATGACTTTCTGTTTCACAGGATGATACTTTGCCTTATCTGGTGTCCACGGAGTGATAAAATCTGCTTTTTATGTACTTCCTAATTCCGTTTTTTACTAACTTCGGTTCATGATTGATACATTACATCAATGTCAAAAAGAGGAATCCACTAAATCTCTTTATCTCATACGTGCTTGCCACTTTTTAGCTCCAAATTTGTAACTTTGGACTGCCATTTGGTAGGGTCAGTTCAATCCTGATTACTTTATATCTGTTGAACTTTCAATAATTGAATGGGATAAAAATCAATCAATTATGGAGCAAATTTGTGGTCTATAATGGTTTGCCATAAAAATCTCAAGTGGTGTTGTAAAAATTTGTAATAAAATATAAACTAATTTAGATTCAGGCCTTTTCATCCATTTCCTCCAAAATGCCTTCTTTCACCAACCATACAAGCCATCTTCCTTTGAAGAGCTTGTATGAAAACTTATGCTGGGGCGTAAACTAATACATTTTTACAAATTTTTCAGCAAGAAGAACATGTGCTACTCTGTAAAAGAGAGAAGAAAAACATGGGCTGTTCTTAAGCTGGTCCCTGTCAAACATAAAGAGAGGATAAAGCAAACTCAACATTCTGCCAGATAACCGAAAAAAAAAAAAAAGATTAAAGCATACTTCTTACTTGTCTGTAAGGCTAAGTGCAAGTTTTTGCAACTTGTAGAACTAATAATAGAAAACGTAGGATTTAACAAAGCTTCTTCCAGAATTCTACTTTTCTGTAGCCTACATTTATGTTCCTCTGCTTCCAGATGCCATAGATAGCGGCATCTATCATATATTCTTAGACCGTCTCTCAAGCATAGAAAACATAAAGGTAACTTGATGCCCTGCCATAACCAAAAAGAGGAAATTCTGCCTGTGTAACTTGTAGCTTAGCCCAATTCCTTCAAATCTTCAATTATGATGCATCTTCCTTGCGAAGACATAACTTCATTAATAAAAAACCGATTCTCAAAAAGTGAAAGTTCTGAATTTGAATCTCCAGTGTAGGTTGAAATTCGTGACTTGACTGGCCTTTTAGGAGCTAGTTACCGTTGCCCAGTGATAATGTCAGTCCACATTCTTAGCATGCTTAGCTCGCAAGAGGTATTATGTAATAAAATTAAATATGACTATGCATATAAGCGCAGCGAAAATTAATAAGATACATACCTCCTGCCATGATTGATTAAGTACTCAAGATATTGCTGAAAGAAAACTGGAGCCGCCAAGGGGAGAGAGAGCCTTCTAGTCTATGCCAATACTTTGGGGTTTTGTGTGTTGATTGAAAAACACAGGCTTTACTTACTATTTATATGGTTAGACCATGGACTCTTTCTTTAACCTAATTTTGCACCTCCATCCATCATGGATGTGCCTAGCCCACTACTAAAGTTCATTAGGCTCTAAGTCTTTAAATAATCATTTATAGATTTAAAACAAACATGACATATGGGCCACACTATAGAATATTTCTTACATATTATTCATTTCCTTCCAAATATTATAAATAATAGCACCCTATGAAATTCTAAAAAGATCATAAATAAAATATTTTTTTCTGCAAATTCTGTTTATCCTATATGAATTTAGTATTCCGCTGAATTTTACTCCAAACATCTTTCGTGCATGCAATTAAAAAATAAATAATCAAGATCTTCCACTACAACACCTCGTAACGAACAGTAATCTAAACAACAAAATATAAAAATAAGATATAAAAATAAAATTCTACTTGCATCTTTGAAGTACAAGAATCTGTTGTAAATATTTCTACAAGCAAAGCATATTGCAAATACAATGGATTAATTTTAGATGAACTTCATCTCTAATTAAGTGGCATGGCTAGCAAAGAACCTTTGTGGTGTGTGTAGAAATGACGAGTGCGTCAGGTATAAAACGGATATCTATTTTATTCGGTCTAATAAATATCCATTAAGATTGTTCAATGGTATTGAAGTGAGTAAGGGTAAAAAAAATATAATTTCAGAGTATGGATGCCTACTATTTATCCTATTAATACCCACTAATTTATTTAGATTTTTTTTATTAACATATACGAATCTAATTGCATAAAATTTAAAAAGTAAGGATCAAAATATTTTTAAAAAAAAACTTTGAGGACAAAAAAACTTATAAATAAATGACCAAAATGTAAAAAAAAATTAAGGAAATAAAAAAATTGTCTTAAAAATTATAAAAACTAAAATAAATATTTTTAACAAATTAAATTTAGCAGGTATTTAATGATTATGAAATGAGCAAGTAAACTAATATAGACCCGATATTAGCTAGGTGAAGATTTATATAATAATTTCTTAAGAGTAATAGGTATGATTTTTTTTTAATGAAAATGGTGAAAAACTGAACGAATAGATGGAGTACCCATTCATTGTCATCCCTAAGCATGTGTCATAATGTGGCAATAAATCAATTGGTATGCTAAAATTTGCAAATTGCTATGAAAAACAATAAATTATAAATTAGTCCTTTTTGTTTTTGAGAAATAAATTAATTAGTTTCTTTCGTTTCAAAAACAAATGTTTTAGTCTCTCATATTCTAATTCCGTAAATAACTTAATCATTTCATCAATTTTGCTTTAAATTAGTGATTTTATTTTTAAATTGCCCATCATTTTATGCTTTATTTCTCTCATTCACTCGCTTTTTTCTCTCTCCTTAACCAAAAAAAAAATTGAAAATAAAACTACTAATCTATCAAAAAACTGTCGAAAAAACTAAATTATTGATGAAATTAAAATGTCAAAAACTAAAGGATTAGTTTTTAAAAAAGAAATGGACTAATTAATTTGTTTCTTTAGACGAGAGGGACTAATTTATAATTTATTCCAATGAAAAATTATCTCCCCCACCGTTTGGCCCCTCGTATTTAAATACAAAGAAAGTCGAGCCATTATCTCACCAATGCTTCACGTGCACTGTCTTGTTTTATATACGAAGAGGAGATATGTACATTATTAAGTCACCACTGACAACTGTTCCAGTGCATGCTCCAGAAAAACTTCATCACACCATGTATGTTTGGCCGCTACGTACTGCTTACTGAATTAATATGCACAACTGTATCAAAAAGATTTAGATCTTTAGCCTACCCAATTTTCAATGTACTTTGATCATGCGTAGTCTATTCTAAATCTTGGTTGAGTGGCTAGTTCTAAATCAGGCTTATAAACAACTAGTTTATTTCAATCCATGCTCATGCATGTAAGAGGCAAACATAGATTTTTTTTCCCTGTTACAAAGAGAGTGTAGATTATAAATTGGTCTCTCTAGTTAGTTTTTCAATATATATATATATATATATATATTAAATAATCCTTCTAACTTTAATATGTAATTAATTAGTCCTTTTTTTTAAATCTATTCTTGAATTAATTCTTTCCTTTTTTATTTTTTAAATAAATAAAAAAGGAAGAAATAAGTAAAAATTATGAAAAGATTGTTAGAAAAAGAAGAATTTTTTTAAAACAAAATAATATTAAATTAATCAGAGCAATATTGGTCGAGAGACTAATTGATTAGTTTTTAAAATAAAATATATTATTGAATTCGTTTTACAAAACTACAAGGACTAATTTAAAATTTACTCAAAATGTGAGCTTCTAATTTGAAATATCTTGACAAAGGAAGGATATGCTTGTTTACCTTTGAGCTATAAGCTCATTAGCTACATATAGGTCTATAGGATACTTGAACTAGCCTTTTAACATGTTCAAAAAAAATTCAAATAAGCCAACTATCCGTTATATCTTGTCCAGCTTTCATTTAGTGTTTTTTTTAACCAAAAAAAAAAAAAAATCAATCCAAACTATGAATTAATTAATTAGTGCATGCACGAATCTGTGTCGTTTTTTACATTTTGGGTCAAAATCAGGACCACCAAATGTGGCTTCATTAATTTTATATTAATTAATTTACAAAAAAAATGCAAAAATGGCAATAATTTAGCGAATAGCTGAAAATATTGGACTCATTTAGTCACTTCAACAGGAAAGAGAAAAAAAAAAAAAGAACAAAAATGGAGGAGATTTTGTAGCACGAAACAGACCCACCAGAGAGAGAAGTGACGAAGAAAGTAAAAAGAAAAGAACATTGATTTGCTTTTTATCATTTGATTTTGAGATAATTTGGTATAACATCTATGTTTAGGGTTACACTCATTGCATAAAAGCTCGATTTCATGCAAAATTATGTGCATGAGACCTTTTAATTTCCATAACAACGTAACTAATTAAACACACTTTAATTACTGTTACATTACATATTCATACAAACATGTATTAACCAAATCCGAAAAATGAAAATAATCCCATCTCGGCCGATCCGATCGAAGCATTTCCGTCTCTACCTGCAAACTCCGAGTGGCTTACCGCAAAGGCAAGCATTATAAGCAAACGATGATGCTTCGAGGTGATCAAAAGGCGGCCCTGCGGGAATCTTCCCACATAAGCGGTTGTGACTCAAATCCAAGTGCCCAATGAATGATGCTTGGGACAAAGATTTCGGTATCGGACCCCAAAAATTATTGTAAGATAAATCAAGTACCATGAAGTAAGATCTCGGACCGAAAACATCCGGTAAGTATCCTTGAAATGAGTTTTTGCTCAAATTCAAGTTACCGATAGCTGAATTGAACAAACTCTCGGGGATCTTTCCTGACAATTTGTTGGCATCGAGATTTAGTGTCGCCAAAACAGCCATCCTACCCAAAGAAGCCGGTATTTCACCCGATAATTTATTCAAGGAAAGATCCAAATCGGCGAGACGATAAATTTTGGAAATTGAATCGGGAATGGAACCACTAATATAATTTCGGCTCAATAAAGCCCGACTCAACATCTGTAGACGCCCGAAATCTCCAGGCAATGAACCCCATATCCGATTATTACGCAAATCGAGGTGCATCAAACTCGACAGATTAGTCAAAGATCTCGGGATCCTACCTGTTACAAGATTGTCGGCGATATTCAAAACAGTCAGCCTTCCCAACCGTCCAATATCGGCAGGAATATCGCCGGAAATTCGATTCCCGATCAAATCAATAATCCTCAAGAGCGGCAACGACGTAATGCAGGATGGAATCGGACCCGAGATCCCTTTCCAATCAGCAATTGTAAGACTGGAAAGCCTCTCGAGCTTGCAAATAGAAGGGGAGATCGAACCGGTCATGTAACCAGACCGACCAGCTTTTTGGAAAATGGGGTCTTCAGATTCACCTCGGAGGTTAATGTCAGCAACCTTTTTGGTCTCCGGGTCACAACTGACACCATACCAGTTGTGGCAGCAGTCGGTGCCTGTCCAAGAATTGAAAATGCCCAAGTTAGGCTCACGGAGAGCTGCTTTGAAAGCTAGTAAAGCTTCCCTGTCTGAAGGAGGACAGCTTTGAACTGTGGAAGTAAGGATGAATATTGTTAGGGTTGCCAATAACGTAATGTAAGAAAACATTGTCATGGTTTCTTGGTTTCTGTGTCTTTGATCAGTTTCTCTCTTTCTATCTATCTGTAGAAGTCTGCGCTTCTTTGTGAGTTTACGTTGGGGAGTGAAGTAAGGGCATGGAAGTGAAGGATAACGTTGTTGTTTGTGTTTGTATATATAATGGATGGGATTTCTCTGGGACGATTTTGCCCCTAAAGTGGATTGTTACAAGGTTGTTGGCTGACTAGGTGATGGAGATGATCTCATGGTTCTCGGAAATTTCATGGATGGTTTTTTCAATGTTCTAAAAAAATTTGTATTTCTGCCACGTCTTTCCTTGATTGATGTAAGGTGACATATTAGCATGTTGATTTCCATTTTTAAAATTATTGTGTGACTCTTGGAAAATAATTTTTCATGGAGATCTTATGATCAATGGCTAATATGCATGCCTCTATATAAATTACATTTTTGGTAGTTTGGCTCAAATTTATTCTACATGTTACATTTTGTGTTCAAATTTAAGAAACTTTTCAATTTGAATAAAACAAATTTTCATGAATTTAAATATCAATTAATTCAAATATGAATAATGATATTTCAAATATGAATAATCTGTCGAGCAAAATGTTATGATGTGTATGTGAAATTGTTTTCTCTAACTATTATCTTTGCACAGTAATTAAAAAATAATGAAGAAAGGTTGTGTCTTTTTATTTTCAACTGCTGTTAAGAATTCTAATGAAATTGAGGTTTTAATTATTAATAAATTTTTGGAGATATATATATATATATATATTTAATGTAAATTGGATTATAGAATCTAACTCTATGAATGAAATATTTTAGGTTTGTCAAGATGCTAATGAAAGATAACGAAGAATCCATAATATTTTTATGTCTATAAATTCATGTATTTGTAATTTTAAATCAATTAATTTTTATAGAATTAATAAAAAAGGTAACAGGATCACAAATAATCTGATTCGTTAAGGAATAGAGAGACAAAAAACTATCTTCTTTTCTTTTTAATTTGATGAATTTTTATTCAAACATATAAAAATAAGGAATCTAGTACTTCTTTGGAATTGAGAATGTATAATGTTGATTGTTTTTTAGTAGAGAAAATGTAGGATTTGATGTCATAATTAATTTTTAGCGGTATCAAACATAAATTTATTTGATCTAGGAGAAAATTCAATAATGGATCAAAAACTATAAATATATTTATACATATTAGAATGTTTTCGAACTAATTTCTACATTAATTGAAATTAAATTTATTATTTTTTGAATTAAATTAATGTTATATATATAAAATAAAATAAAATAAAAGTAATATCATTCTACTCTTACGAAGAGAATCATCATTGAGTAGTAGTATATACTAGCTAGAGAGTTAATATGGATACAGAAATTTCTGGACAAATTAATATATACGGACAACATCAATCAATGGATGAAGTACTCCTAAATAATGTTACAAAGTCATTGGCAGCAGCATATTGGTAGGCTCATGATAAATGTTTAACTGCTCTGTTGATTTTGAAAGCTGTCAATTAATTTTGATTTTTAAATTGACAATGCACCAAACAAAAAATTCTCAACTTGTGATTTCTAAGCTCCCAATCACCCTCCCTTCTTGCAAAACCTAATAATGTTCATGTTCCTTGAAAATTATGTATCTATATTAAAAAATTACCTCAATTTAAAAGTTAAAATTATTAGAATAAAAATCTATAAACATATATATAGTTCAATAAAACTCTAACATTACTTAAAAAAATATTTTAATTCAAAAATTTAAATTATTTAGTAAATCTGCAGAATGGTTTTAGATTAATTTTCTATTACTGTATTGCTAATCTCATTTTTAAAATAAGTTTAGCACGTAGGCCGGTGAAAAAGATGTCTCTGAAGTCTTTGCCTCTCTGTCATTAGTCGTTATGTCTTGGACAAAACACAAATGGTAGAAATTTGAGGATAGAAACGAAGGGATGGGAGAGTTGAATCTAATAATTGAGGAAGAGCATATCAACATGGGGATGGGGATAAGCTCGGCGGTGAAGCTAGCTAGAGAGGTGAGGGTGAGGTAGAGAGCTAGGGGCACGTGGGGTTGTATACAACGTGGCAGTCCAAGGTACATGATTTTTTTTTTTTTTATAAATCTGGAGAGGATCAGAATGATGGGGTGAGGACCAAAATAAAATTAGGTAGGAAAGCCAGGTCGATGAAGCATGCATATATGAGTTGTGAGATCTTAATCATGCCAGATCCCGAGGTCTTTTTCTTGGGTTATTTGGTGGTGTGACAGTTTAGCTTTGCGAAAACTTGGTATTCGCATGATTTGTCTAGTTTTTTTTTTTTGGAGAAAATGTTTTCTTACTCGTCATAAGCTGTTAAGTCGATGGAGTGCTTGCTTTTTAAACTCTATGATTGCATCAAATGGCAAATTGAATTTTATCTAAATAATTTTATAAATTCAAATTTATATTTTTCATATTTGTACAATTCGATACAATTAAAATTAATTATTAATAAAAAATTATACAATACACAATTTTAATCAAGATGTTCCGCTAAAATTTTGACTCTTTAGAAAAACATATGACAATCATGCGAATCTCTCGCATTTTCTAACAAATAGGTTTAAAAATAATAATAAAAAGATAATAACTTATAAATCTTTTATTTATTTTAATTTTAAAAAGATTAAAATTAAACATATAGGTGAAAATTGTATTTCACATGGCTAATATTTTCCAAGTCAGCAAGTATTGAAATAACAAATAGATTTTTGTTGACAATTAAGGATAATAGGATCAGATTGCCTATCACAATTATAGAATTGAATTCATAAAACTATTTACACAAAATTTAATTTCTCAATTCGATGCAAATGTTACCATTAGACATTTAGCACATTAGCAGGGTTTAATTATTAATATTTTTAAAAAATTAATTTTTTTAATTTACATTTTGTGTAAGAAAATGTTGAGTTAGTTTTTCATTTCTTCTTACAGTGACAGTCAAATACTACATTAACCGTCAATGCTTATTGATTAGTTTAAAAAAACATTGATATTATTAGCAGTATTTACACAGTCTATCCCTTCAAAATTAATTTGAAGTACGACATAAATTAGACCAATCAATAAAAACATATGTTTAAATTATATGAATTTACTTTAAAAAAAAAAATCATTGTACAAACATTCTGACATGCACATAAAAAATGATTTAATCCATCAATTACAAGTGAATCTCATTGTAATAATGAACACATCAAACATGCGTGGAACAATTTTTCATGCTTGTCCTCTTTCAATTTACCAATCAAGGATAAAAGTGCATGAAAATGGCACCACTATACTTGCTGATTAACTGACCCAAAACTAAATCTTTGTCTCCCCAATTGGAGTCACCAATGTGGTCCTTCGTGAGAAAATATAATACTCCTTCCCCATCAGAAATCTGGATCATCCACATGCCCAATCTCTTCACTGTTTGAATTGGTCCACCAGGAAGAAGATTGGCTACTTGGGGCATAAAATTTTTGGAAGTAAATCAAGGGAGGACAGGCCATGATTTTTCCATGTTATGAAGATTTGAAACCAACTTGTAATATTTCAGATTTCAAGCATATCTTGAAGAAAAGTACGTAACACTCTCTTCGACCCAACATTGCCCTTTTACCGTTTATGAACAGATAAAACAAATAATGTAAATTATAGAGTTGTTGGGACGTGTTATGAGTTTTCACATGTGATTATTATTTAATCATGCATCTTGATTCTTAATAAATTACTCCTGATTGAAAACTTTTGTTGCCTAATTGTTTCAAAATTTCAATGATTACATGTAAGTTTGATAGCAATTATAAATTAGTTCTTTTCGAGAAACAAATTAATTAATCCTCGTTGTTTTAAAAGCTAGTTATTTAATTTTCATATTTTAATTTTTTTTGTAATATATTTATTTATTTTTTGTTTTAAGAGATAGAAAAAAATATAAGTAAAAAATAAAACGATAGATAAAAAAAATGATATGTTTTAAAATAATATAATATTAAATTAAACTTGATCAATACTGATCAAAAAATTAAATCATTAAATAAAAAAACTAATTAATTCATTTTAAAAAAATAAAGATAGCGATTTATAATTTAAATATAAGTTTGGTCTATCAATCAATCGTATATTTAGTAATTTACGTCAATAAAACAAATATGAGTTTCAATAATTCTAGTTTTTTCTATTATAATGTAAGAAGTCGGATTATCCTAGTTATTCAGCCTGAGTTGTTTAAACCTCCCAAATCCTAATTAATTGATTAAAAAAATCTAATATTTGAAGATACTTAAGATCAATAGACGACATTTAAGGAGCATTTTGAGCACAAGTTCAAATAAATAATCTGCTGGTAATTAATTTATCTAAAGAGCCGACAATAAAAGTGTTATAATCAGAAGTACCTTATCCAAAAGATTCTTTTTCAAGGAAAATCATATATATATATATATATATATTTGTTTCACTTTATCTTGCACTAAATCCGACAACTGTCTATTTTACGGCGAAAGTAACCGTTGATGCTTGAAAATGTCATCTCCAACAAGGATCATTTGGCATTGCAAATTGGTAACTCTAAGATGGTCCCTGAAAAAAATAATTCTCGTGAATTTGTTAATTTCAATATGAATACAGATGGAAAGATAAATTTAATTGTAATATAAAAAATATCTAAAAATATCACATGACCATCATCTTATATCTAAAAATATGAGTATAATTTTGAATTCTCCACACCCAAAATATTATCTTTAGAAAAAAAATAATCATAGCAGTATAATAATTAAATAATTAAAATGGTGAAGAAATTAAAATATATATACTCCTAAAATCCAGAGTTGGTGTGGCATACCTATGAGAAAACATGTTACTATTACATTTTCATCATCCCATTTCTCTCATTACATGATTAGGTACAGGACATGTGGTGCATGTGCAAGAGGGTCCAGCACAGAAAAAGTTTTA